GCGGCGGCTTCTCCTTAGCGAACCTTCCGGGGGGAGGGGACTCGACTGCGTTACCGCGGAACGCGCGGAGCCCTTCCTCTCACGCGGCGGGCGGCGGCGGCGGCGCGAGACGCACAAAGAGGGAGGAGAGAGGGCGCCACGGGGGCGGGCTGGGGGCGACGGGCCGAAGCCTGGATTGGGCCGGGTTGAGGCAAAGGGTCGGATCGGCGGCCTCCGATTGGCGGAGCTTCCGTCCTTCTCGCTGTGCGCTGGGATTGGCCGGACCGTTAGGCCTGGCGAGGAAATGGCGGCCGAGGCTGGAGAGCTGGGAGGTGTCGCAGCGCGCACTTCATTTGTTACTGCGCGAACTGAGCTCGGCGTCCAGGAAGGAGGGCTGAGGGTGGGGCAAACTATGACGTTGGCCGCAAGCGCGCCCTCATTGGCTGGACTTGATAGGCTTAAACTCGGTTGCGTCGTAGGACCCGGAGATTGGCTGTCGCGTTTCCTATTTGGGAGTAAGCGAGAGGTCGCGGCGGAAAAGCCGCGGCCAATGAGCTTTACGGCGGGGGAGGAGTGCGCATGCGTAGACTGGGCAAAGTCGCCTCCGCCCCTCGCTTCACCTTCGTTTTCGGGTCCGGAGCGTGAGCCCTAAGTGACGTCAGTCCTCGATTCCCTCGTAACCCGGAACCGGGGTTGGGGGCGGGTCCGGTGCGTGTCCCTAAACGGGGTCCGTTGACACCACAGGTAGAAAAGGACATCCTGTTTGAAGAAAAAAAAAAAAAGAAAAGTCGCTATAAAGTAGACGCTAATTGAAGGATTAAAAACCTGAGCTGATGGGACATATAACTTTAGGCGGAAAAGAATGTAAACTTGTCAATTCTAAAATGAGTTTACAAATATGCAGTTCCCTTAGACTCCCAACGTGTGGTTCATTAAATCATCTTAAAATCACTTGGGAAAATAGTGGGGAAACTTGTAAACAAGGTTGAGGGGGAACTTGCCTTTCCAGATAATACACAGTATAAAAGACAATAATAAAACCATGTGATGTAGGAATGACGTCAGTGAAACAGAGCCCTGAAGTAGATTCCCCGTTTATGGGTAAAAATACCACAAAGGTGGTATTTCAGTTCAGTAGGGAAAAGATCTAGCTAATGTTACACAGTCCTGAATAGAAACAATGAAACCACTTACAGTGATTCTCAACCTTCCTAATGCCGCGACCCTTTAATACAGCTCCTTATGTTGTGATGACCCCCAACCATAAAATTATGTTGCTACTTCATAACTGTAATTTTGCTACTGTTATGAATCGTAAATATCTGATATGCAGGATATATTTTCATTGTTACAAATTGAACATAAAGCATAGTAATTAATCACAAAAACAATATGTAATTATATATGTGTTTTCCCATGGTCTTAGGCGACCCCTGTGAAAGGGTCATTTGATCCCCAAAGGGTCGCGAACCACAGGTTGAGAACCGCTGACTTAGGCTGTCAGGGTAATGCAGGGGTAGAGAGTTTATGAAGACGGGAAATTCAAACTATGAAGAAAAGATGTACTTGATTACCAGATACATTGAAACTACGATAAAAGTCAACAGACAATAATCTACAAAAACAGTTGCCATACCTGATAAAGAGTTAATATCTTTAATATGCAAAGAAGTCTTAAAAATTAATTTTTTTCTAATTTTTATTGATTTGAGAAACATCAACTTGTTGTTCTGCTTATTTATGCATTCATTGGTTTCTTTTTTTTTTATTTCAGAGGAAGGGAGAGGGAGAGAAACATCAATGATGAGACTCATCCATCCGCTGCCTCCTGCATGCCCCCGGAATCCAAATTTGATCTCTTGGTTTATGGGTGGGCACTCAACCACTGAGCCATTGGTGGCTTCTCATATGTGCCCTGACTGGGGACGGAACCAGCAACTTTGGTCTATCCAGATGACAATCTAACCAACTGAGATATCTGGCCACGGAATAACTAATTTTTAAAAAGACTACATGCCGAAACCGGTTTGGCTCAGTGGATAGAGCGTCGGCCTGCGGACTGAAAGGTCCCAGGTTCGATTCCGGTCAAGGGCATGTACTTGGGTTGCGGGCACATCCCCAGTGGCGGATGTGCAGGAGGCAGCTGATCGATGTTTCTCTCTCATCGATGTTTCCAACTCTCTATCTCTCTCCCTTCCTCTCTGTAAAAAATCAATAAAATATATTTAAAAAAAATAAAAATAAAAAGACTACAAATAGGCAAGTTTTTTTTTAACTATAGCTTAGAGTTTATAGTAAATCTTTTTTAAAAAATTTTATTTTATTGATTTTTTTTACAGAGAGGAAGAGAGAGGGATAGAGAGTTAGAAACATCGACCAACTGCCTCCTGCACACCTCCCACTGGGGATGTGCCCGCAACCAAGGTACATGCCCTTGACCGGAATCGGACCTGGGACCTCTCAGTCCACAGGCCGATGCTCTATCCACTGATCCAAACCGGTTAAGGCCAAATTGGCAAGTTTCAGAAAAGGAAGTCCAAATAGCAAAAAATGTTAAGGGGACCAACACTCTTAGTAGGGAAATGCAAATTAAGGTGATAATGAAGGATTTCTTTATATGATCATTAAAAGAGCAGAAGACAAATGTTCTGACACTAATATGAAGGTCTTTTTTGGAAAGCATTCTGTTGTCTATTAAAATTGTACCCCTTCCTGGCTATTGTGTCTCAGTGGATACAGCATCAGCCAGGGCACTGAAGGGTGGCAAGTTCAATTCCCAGACAAGGGCACAAACTTGGATTGCAGGTTCATCCTAGGTCAGGACTCATGTGGAATTGTTGTGTCTCTCACACTGATGTTTCTCTCTCTCCCTCTCCCTCTCCCTCTCCCTCTCCCTCTCCCTCTCCCCCTCTCCCTCCCTGAAAAAATACCTTCAGGTAAGGATTTTTTAAAAAAAATATATTTTATTGATTTTCTGTAGAGAGGAAGGGAGGGAGATAGAGAGTCAGAAACATCGATGAGAGAGAAACATTGATCAGCTG